GGATAAAACATTGCGATATCGGCTTGCGGTATAAGCGATTTCTACCTTACCATCGAGCAGTAAATCATCATGGAAATCCGCAAGCATACCCCCGGGTCACGTGGTAATGATTTTCTTTTGGAATTTGATTCGATGAAGCGTGCGGTAAGTTGATTGTGTCGCCATCTTTTTAGCTCGTCACCTCGTCGAGCAAATGTCCCGAGCGACTCACGTTAATCTCGTAAGAAAAAAAAAAAAGGAAAAAAACGAAAACTGGCATTCGTTTCAACTCGTTCGTCAACAAGTTTGAATTAACCACTGGTAAGCACGTAGGTAAGGTCCTTGTCCTCAGCCTCATCAAGATATTCGCGGCGGTGCGAGCGTGAGATGACTGACTTTGACCCGAGAGCCCGTAGATGTCGGTACTCGGCGAATCGGTCAGGACATCTTGACTCGACTGCGCAAGCCGCCGCGCGCACTCCCCCATTGACCGACTCGGCTCCTCGTCATCGTCGCGAACCTCCTCGGCAGACTCTATTAACGGCAGGCGATAGTACTATACGGTGCCTTCGAGACGGACGGACCGTCAAGTGTGTCGTCGCTATATCAGGAAAAGCCAGCTGAGCCAGACTCGCAAGTGTCGACTGGGACTCACGGGGACCCCGACGAGCGAATTGAGATTGACTCCACAGCTATCTAACGCCCGAGAGAGTGCGATAAGAGACTAACGACAATCGCTCATCGGGTCCTCGAGCCATCTGCGTCATCCTCTGCCTCGTCTACTAGCCACTAGGAATCAACGACAAGGTAAGGATCGCTCCTGCCTCCAACCGCGCACTATCGATGTACATAATACGCGCTCGTTGATTATTACCACACGCGAGTCTATTCGCGCGAGAAGGCCGTCAGCTGCTGCTGCCACCGCCGCCGCCGCCGCCGCCGCCGCCGCCGCCGCCGCCACCGCCGCCGCTCCTGCTGTTTTTCTTTCATTTTACTTGACGATCGTTCCTTAAATTATGCTGTCGCCGTAGAAGATATAATGTTCATGTACCTACATTTCCGCGTTCCGCTCATCGACATTCGTACGTCCACGCGTCGTTCCACACTTTTTTTTCTATCTCTACGCATCTGTATGCGATCTGGTACGCGCGCTCGTTTATATGCGGATGAGTAAGTGTGGGCGCGCGCGCCCGCGTTTATGCATGCGTGCGCGGGTCTGCTCTACAAAGGCGCCCAGCCAGTACGAAATCGATTGGTGCGGGATTTCCTTTTATTATATAGGTATGTCGTAGTAGTAGTCGTCGTCGTCGTCGTCGTCGTCGTCGTCGTCGTCGTCGTCGTCATCCTCCTCCTGATCATCGTCGTCGTCGCCGTCGTCTGCTTCAACGTCATCGTCGTGCTCGTGGCCGACGGCGTTGTCGAATCGTTCTCAGCATCCTAATCGTCTTCGTAGAAATCAATCATCAGACTTACAATTGCGTTTGTCAAGTTTTTATATAAAATAATTGAAAATATATAAAAATAAATAATTGAATGTAGGGGACAATTTCACATTAATTAATTGGAGACAGTTGTCGCGTTACTGTGTCATGATTTTTATTACTTTGGAAGTTTTGACTAAAATTTTTAATTTAATGTACATACCCAATTGCGTCTGATAATCTGTAATTACTTAAATGAAATATATGTTCTTACGGTATAGAACTTTTATTTTTAACAGTATTCTATACTGTGTACATATTTGTGTATGTGTATATATAGTATATATATATATATATATATAGTATATATATATATATATATATATATATATATATATATATATACTAGCGGCGACGGGCTACTGATAGAAAAGCGTTTGATTATGTCGAAAAAAACGTAAAACATTTGTGACATGAAACTAAGTACTCAACATTTTTATTAATAGAGCATTATCTATCTTTACTAGGAAAAGTTGGCATTTCATAACATATTTAATATATAAGCCTATTAAAGAAAAAAAGTTATTGTAAAAAGTGGTATAAGATCCTTATAGTACCATTATTTTTAGGAAATGTAAGGCAAGAATAAAATTGATATTTCGCTGAAAGTATTTATTTTATGATTAAATAATCGCTATAGGATACTTTAAAATTTTTATGTGAAAGTAGATCGAACTGAGTTCCTCCAGTTCTCATTTCTTCATGTAAAAATGACTAAATGATACTATTTTTAAAATGCCTTTGTGATAGCATTTTCCAATGAAAAAATTATAAAACTGGAATACCTCAAATGTGTGATTTGCTATTGATGTGTATTGTGTATTTATTAAATATTTACATTTACTTATTTTAATTATATTACATGCATTTGAAATCTTCAGTTGGCATAAAGTATCATTTAAATATGTCAAAAAGTCCCTAAGAGACGATAAAAGACGCTTTAAATCATTTAAGAAAATACATTATTTTATCTTCTACATAAGCATAATTAGTTGATAGACAGTTCGTCGGTTTAGACAGCTGTGAAAGAAAGCATTTCGCTACTTGAATTTCAATTTCATGTCATAATGGAATGCTATTTTTATGAAGATATTTCAATGTATTATGTAACAATATTATTGTATTATTATGAATTTTTCTAAATACACATATTATATTATTGATACTTCGTTTAATATTATTAACATATCAATTTATATGAAATATTCTGTTCCTTATTGACTCGGCAGACAAAATTCTCACAATTGGAAGACAAAATTTTATTAATATTAATTGCAATAAAATAATTATATTTTAGATTTTTATTTTCAAGTATTAAATATGTTTATAGAACATTTGATAGATGAAAAATGTCATTAGTTTTGAATTATTTTAAAATTATTGGAAACTATTGTAGCAAAAAATTTAATACTTGGAATAAATTGATATTATAGTTTAAAAATTACGTATTCCATAATTAAGTGTAATTGCATTCATAAACCATATAATTAATTGATGAATTTAATTTAAAATTTTTTTTAATATTAATTATTAAACGTACAAATGATAATTTTATTAAAAGCCAGCTAGAGATAAAGATTTTTCTTCATTTACACATAATTTAAGCATATTAAACAGTCTAATTCTTTTGGGTTAACATAGTATTCAATGTATGTAAATAATCATTTATTCAAATTATTCGGTCAATAATTATATTCCTGCATTTAATTTTTTTAATTAACATGTGCCATGGGGTTAATACCTCGAAAATTGTCATGAAAATTATAATCAAGGATTCATTTTAAAAACAAATTAATCGCAAAATTTAGAACAATTACAGGGAGTACATATATAATTATCGTCTATTGTTGATTGTTTTAAAGAAAAAAGTCTTTATTAAACTCTTAAATCAATATTGATATCTGTATTTAAGCATTATAATGAAAAACGTCGTTTAATAAAATTAAAGAAAAGTCGTATAAGAATGCGTTCATTTATTATATATTTTTGAAATTATAGTTTATCTTATTCGATAAATACTCGATATTTATGTAAATAAAGTTCTTGTGTAGTAAATGTGGAAAATGCATTGCAATACTAAGATTACTAAGATTTGTTATCCATAATCTTACCGAAGCTATTGAACTGCACTTTTATTAATTTTATTATATTTGTTTAAATTTAAAAGGTTTAAATTTTATCAGTCATTATACGAAAATATATGCAAATATTTTAATTTTTAATATGTGTATATTAATCAAGTTCATGCTATTTATGCGTATATGTAAAAATTAAAATATGCTGATTTTTAAACGTAAGAAATTTTAAAAATGAAATAAAATTTAGTTTTAATTTATCAATACGCCTGATGCATGATTATTGATGAAGATATAGCACTGTGCAAATGATTTGTAATCTGCCAAATGTTGGATATTCTTATTTACTTTAAATCTATTAATATCAAATTTCGACCCTTTAAATACAATATACGTCCAAAGGTAAAATAAACGGTATTAATCTCTTATTGGACGAATGTACGGAAGATGCTCCTTGTACTTAATGACGTCAGTCAGGCACTGAATTATTAGTTCTATTAGTTGATAGAAAAAGATAGTCATTCAAGATTTTGTTTTATCAACTAGGGAGAAGCTTTTGTTCTTAAAGCTCCGTTCGAGTCTATTCGCGCAAACTTCTAACCTGATTTAATTAAAGTTCACCGAATGCTTAGTTCAATCTTATATCACAAAATTAATATTTCTTTCAACACAATTAATTGGCCTTTCGATATGCACTTAAACATTTCATTTATAAATTTCATTTATGTTTGAAGTACTTGAATTTAATTAAATTGACTTGAACATCCTAATAATTGTAAGTTTAAAAGCATTCGTTACTGAACAATTACGAGATATTAAAAGCCAATTGTCGAAGCTTATTCTGATCTATCAGATATCAAAGCAAAATATAAAAATGTTATATGTTATTACTACTGCTAGGTCATCCATATGATGAATGAGATAAAAATTTTACAAACGTTTTTTGAAATTATGGAAATAATATAAAAACAGCTTTCTGAATGTTGATCATAGGCACATGGATCAACGATATTACATCGTGTAAATGAAATCATCGCTAATTGATCGACTCAAATATAGCCAACAAGATCATTTGATTGCTTATTTAAACCTGCTTTCGCCGTCACGTTACCTCCCAATTTTCATGACACAATCGTTACGGAGCTTATTAAAGCTTTAACCGAGCACGACTTCATCTTGAAAAACAAAAAACAAAAACAAAAAAACAAAGCGGTTATCGCCAACCTGCTGCCCAGCTTCGCGCGCCCTAACTATCAACAACATTCAATACCGGTCATCGACGTTGTAAAATGAAAATAAAGGAATTAACGCGGGGGAAAGTGCCGAGAAAGCAGTCGTGAAGAAGTTCAGTCTTGATGCGGGGGTGATAGGCTCGAGTTAACCTCGATTCGTCGCTACCCTCTGGCCAGTATACCGAAGCGCACATACGTCATTTACCGTTACTAAGTTTGTGCGCAAAAAAATCAATACCAACAACACACGCGAGAAGCGTAATACGCGCATACGGATGCACCTGGCCGTGTATGTGCGGCTTTTTCGAGCGAAGGTGCGGGTGAAGGCGAAAGAACGAAAGGTCGAAATAGCGTAAATGCGGATGTTGTGATAACGCAGAGGGAATTATTGAACTTGGAAGAAATAAGGGGGAGCACGGAAGGGAAATTGGAAAACTCGGCTTTTTAATGCATGTGGCATTAGCCAGTTTCAAACGTAACTTAAATCATGAAAACTTGCACGAAATTTATCGAGTTCATCGAGGTTTTTGCAAGTTCTAATTTATTTAATGAGAAAATAACAGAATTTATTATTCGATCGATAATAATACCCAATAATAAGAATACCTATTAATAGATATAAATTATTAATAAATTCAATGGAATTTTAAGGATTTTAAGGAATAAGTGATTTAAAACATTATATGCAGTATGATGTAATTACTTAAAAACAGTTAACTCACGTAACAATATGATTATATTTAACTACTTGTATTGTCAAATTAATAATTCAGCGTTTAAGAAATATAAAATATTTTTAATTTAAGCGCTTATATTTAATTTCTTTAAAGTGAGACTTCATTTTCATCGTCCTTATTTGGCGTTAAAAGTACATTAAATAAAATTGATTATTTCAATCTTTATCATAATAAATTATCGGTTTCACTCAATTAAGCCTTTTAAAATTACGGGTAAAAGTAAATAATTTAAAAATTACATTTGATTTCTTTTTTCATTGGCAGTACGACATTTTTAAAAAT